TTTTAATTAGTGTAATTTTAAAGTGGCCTTTTAAGTTTTATTTCTGTTGTGCTATTTTTTCTATAGAAGTGTTGTTTGAGTTGTCTCATTTCTTTCATTATTGACAATGAAGCTGGTAGAGATGAATGCTCCAAATTAGAAAGCTTAGTGACTCCCTGGGCTCCAATTCATGACTCATTAATTCATGACATTGAGCATGCTGATGCATGTGTAATTAGCAGTGTTTGTATATCCCTAGTGAATGTGGTTCTGCTAGCCTTTGTACACAGTGCTCTTCTCAATAAATACTCCTTGCCTCATCTCAAATATCAAGCTCACATATCTCTCCATGGCATTGCAGTACCCATAGGTGATATTGCTGTCATTTTAAAGCCTTTCAGTATTCTGCTTGAAACAATTTTTTTAAATATGATTTATCTCTAAGATACAGAATATAAAAAAACACATTTATGCCTTCTCATTTAGGATGTCCTAGCAGTTGGTCAAAACAGTTTTCTAATGTGAATGTAGAACACAAGTGTGAAGCATGTGAATAAACACTCCAGATTGGGTCCCACAGTTCATTTTTGAGGAACCATAGTTAAAATAGGGCATTTTGTAATTTTTCTGCTTGGAATTGAATCTTTTGGGGGATTTTGGGAAAAAATTCCTTTTTGAAGTACAATTTAAATTTCAAAGCCATGGCCCTGTGGTTTATAAAATCAAAGATCTAATTTACAATCTGCTGCTTTCAGAACAAAAAACTAATTTTCTGCACAGTTGTTGTAACTATATGTTTTCAGCAACACTATATTAATAATATTTAGTTAAATAAGCACAGTTTGGGGAGGAGATGGACTTTGGGATCCCTATGTGCTTGTCATGACCTCTTCCCTCTCTCACTATGTACCTGGACTTCTTTTTTATACCATTTTGTCCTGTAGATTCTGCAAGGAATTGGTCTTCTCTATCTATCTATTCATTTATGTGCCTATCTATCCTGAAGCGAGGGAGATAAAAGATGTGTTTATTGCACAGGGGCCCTTTTATGATCATCACTAGGTTGGATCTATGTAATTTATTTGCTACATCCTCTTCATCAGGACAATAATAGAAGATGTTTCGGTAGCTCTGACCCTCTACTGGAAGAATTTTTTCTCTTTTTGAACTAAACTCCCCTATTTTCTTTTCACCCTCAGTTGTCCCACTTCTAATTCCCACGTGCAGAGAATTAATACATGTACTATGTTATTTTGCACAACATTTTTTATCCAACCTCTATGTTATTTAATTGCAATCAGATTCTATTATAATATAAAATAGAAGTTAAAAACATAATGGTGGGGATGAACATATTATGTGCCAGAGTTGCTCATGATCTGTGTGACCTGATGTATGGCAAGAGCATGCATTTTAAGGCTCATTCACATTAAATGAATAGAATACCCTAATGCAATGCATGTTAATGCACATGAGCTAACATAGGTGTCCTTTTATGACACAGAGAATAGCTGCGATTCAGAGGATCACAGCTATTCTCTGGTCATTCACAGTTTATAACACTCAGGAGATCAGCGGTGAACATGTTCAGCCCTTCACTGGAGATCTGTGTTCTCCCTCCAGATTCTCCAGCCCAGAGCTGGAGAATCGGAGGAACCGCAAACTAAGCAGCGATAATTTACCTCTGCTTAGTAAACTGATTTTTTACTGTAATCTTGCGAGATTATAGTAAAATCAGCCGTTTTCCAGCGTTTGTAGACCGTTCTCCCTTCGTTTGGAGAACTGATCTACATATGCTTCATAAACGGCATTCACAGGAAAACTGTGTTCTCCGAGAATGCTGGGGAACTGAGCAGCGATCTATTACTGCTGGTTCATAAACGGACACCTTAGTGCATTAGTGTCAATAGGCCCTTAGGCTCCATATACACTAGCATTTTTAAGCTCCTAGAAGCTGTTATTAGCATTTCTTTTCTGCTCTTGGAAGCTAAATAGTGTTATCCTATGTGCCCATGCACTCTGTTTTATGCTAGTAGGATTTTGCAAGCTTCAGAATTTAGGAGCAGAAAAAATTGTTTTTGTAGCATTTTTGGGAACGTTTTTCTGGCAGAAAAAACACAGAACACTCCTGAACACTGCTAAAATGCTTGTAACAGCTTTTTGCTAGCTTTTTTTTTCTACTTGTACTATAAAAGTACACTACTAAAATGATGGCGCTACTAAACACTTCTAAACGCTACTAAAACGTTACTAAAAATGCAAGTACCATTGTTTTTTATCTAGCATTTTTTCCAGCATTTTTTGAACTTTAAAAAAAAAGGCTAGTGTGCATGGAGCCTTAATAGCTAGAAAGCATCCTTCTTTCCCAGTCCCCTAGTTAAAAGGTGTGCATTCTATTCCATTACAAATTGTGCATGCAGCATAATATTGTAGACAGCTGTGATGGCCCACTGCTATTATTACTTCCACAATTATACATTTGGTTCAGATCAAGGGACGAGACTAATGCATGATGTTAAAGCTGAATGTTCAGGTGGGTTTAATGAAAACGATGCAGCTAAACGTATACATGTAGATAACTGTTTGTAAAGTTATTTATATTTATCAACTTACACCCATAGCTTCATAGGTCCTTTTTCTCTACATACACTACATTCATATCTTGGCGAGGCCTATACTATGTGTTGTCTCCTTTAACCACTTTCAACCTCTTTGTTTTGTACCCCAACCATCTAATCTGATCAAATATATTTACAACTACGGTAGTTTAAAATAAAACAAAGGTCTTATTCTTGATGTCCTTCATCCTGCCTTATTGGAACCATTTAGAGCTACATTTCACATTAAATGAAGGGAAGCTTTAAGTGTACATCATACTTTCTAATAAATTGTTCTAATTTTAATTTTCACCTATCATAAAAGACTAATACCTGACTTGTAAAATAGAAAAAAATCTATTTAATTACATACTCTTTTCCAATGTCACACAGATCATTCAGTTATTCTTGGGTTTAATCCCTCAGTAGCCACAGAAATGTAAATGTTCTTGGTCCCCAAGGACATATTAAAGTGTTAAGAGGCTGCAAGCAAAGATCCAATTATTAGGCTTGAGTTCCAGCTGTGCATCTAGTTGTAGGGTTATTGTAGAATCCTGGTCAGTCACTTGTAGATATTACTGTGAGGTTAGGTATTAGAAAGCAGTTGGACTACAAAAGGATTTTTTCATAATCTTATTTAGGCAACACTTTTGGCACATGCTCCAAACTTTCAATCCCTTTATCTCTATGTCTATCTCTTTTTTACAGTATGTATGTGTCTCTTTATTTTACTAGAGGCTATTAAATTTCCTGGAAGTGTCTATATGCACATACGTGTTAATAAATGTATGACCTAAGGATAAATATATATATATATATATATATATATATATTAACAAGAAATGTCAGGCAAAGTATGGAACTACTAAGACAGACTTTTATGTACTTGTTTATTTTTACTGAACAAGGCAAAGACAAAGTTGTTGACTAAATGTAACATTCCATAAAGCCAGAATAAACTATAGACCACCAGGGTATCAGTACAATTCTCTGTAAGGGACATTAAAAAGTCTCAAACCAAATGCTTGCTTGCTGTTAAAAGTAGAATAAAAAGGTATTTGAAATCTGAAAGAACAGGGAACAATACCTTTTAATCAGAAATATAAATGTTCATTGTGTATGCTGGGAACCTCCCATGTCTCATTGCATGCTTTAAAAACACGGCAATGGAAACCCCAGGAAAATAATTGTAATATTATAGTTAAAGGAAAAGGCCTACCGTTTAACTGTCAGGGAAAAATTGATATGATAGTTTGTCCTCCATCGAGCTTTAAAGCAAACCTGTGGTGAGGGTAGGGATGGCCAACTAATTATATTTGCAGGCTAAGAATTATATTACATTTACATTGACTTCAAATAATGTAGAAATTGTAGAGCAATTCAGGCCAGAGTAACTCCAACCCCTCTCTCATGCTGCCCTGTTAAACCTACTTGCTTCTCCTGCCATCCGTGTCTGCAGTCTTTTTCATCTCAGCTTTTTTTTTTATAGTCTTTTATTTTATTTTAGAATTATTTGACATTCCAGGTGGGTGCGTGAAAAAAGAAAAAAAGGAAGAAACCATGTAGCTTTCACAGAAGCAATCAGTAGTTAGTATACAGTTCATAGGTGTGACAATGTAACACAGATCTCTTTTTATCTGCATAGCAAGTAATAAAAGCAGCTTTAAATCTGAAATCATAGTGCTTTCAACTTCTACCCCTTTTCCCATAAATATACCCCAGACACCCTCAAGGTGCCTGGGGTATATTTATATACTATAGTTCTACACCCTGGAACTATAGTATTCAAAACTGAAAAGAGAGCAAAGAAAGGGAGTTAGGTGGGGAGGTGCATTGTCATTTAAGGAGGCCCACCACCGCATGGACAGTTCATAGTCTTCTAAGGACTACTGCATAAGGATTGGGTGAGAGGGTCCTTAACCCACATAGATGTCATAATCAACCACTAATTTTCATTCACTCCACAGACTCAACTGAACCAGCACTGTACACTGACAATGTTCTCCTATAGGGGTCAAACACATTAGCCATTATTTACTACTAAAAGCTGCAGCTATCAATACCACAGACTGCAACTCAAGCTGCCACAAATCCAGTCTACTTACGTTGATTGCCGTGTGCATTACAAGTTACTGCATGACATCTCAATCTTAACTGCTGCCAATCCTCTTTCTGCATTGCACTCCCCTTCCTGTATATGTGTCTGTCTTAGCTTAGTTGATTTATAGTGGTACACCCACTGACTGAGTCCAACTTTCCATCTAATTGTTTCTGAACTCTAGGAGCATAAAGTTAACTTTAACCGCTTCCCACCTGCCATATAAGGAAATGACGGATGCGGGGTGGTTCTCTCGTTCTGGTAGGACATCATATGACGGTCCTCCCACTCTAACCGCACGTGCGCACCCCCGGGGGCACACAGCATGGCGATCAGTGGTGCGCTGTGTCCCTGAGACACAGTGGATCAATGTTCAGTGGAAAGAGCCAATGACGTCAGCTCTGTCATGTGATCAGCTGTGTCCAATCACAGCTCATCGCATGTAAATAAGGAAATGCCAGTTATCGGCATTATTCTCCTCTAGAGCTGACAGCTCATGAGGAGAGGAGAGCTGGTCATCAGCAATACTCAGAGGGGACATGTACACTGATCATCAGGGCACTGATGATCAGTGCCCTGATGATCAGTGCAGCCCCATCAGTGCCACCTGTCAGTGCCCATCAATGCCAGCTGTCAGTGCCCATCAATGCTACCTGCCAGTGCCCATCAGTGCCACATCAATGCCATATATCAGTGCCTACCAGTGCACATCAATGCCACAAATGAGTGCCCATCTGATCTGCCTTTCAGTGCCAACTATCACTGCCAGTCAGTGCCACCTATCAGTGCTAGTCAGTACCACCTACCAATGCTGCAAATCAGTGCCACCTATCAGTGCCACCTATCAGTGCCCGCCCATCAGTGTGCATTAGTGCCACCTAACAGTGCCAGTCAGTGCCTCCTATCAGTGCCAGTCAGTGCTGTCAATCAGTGCCACCTATCAGTGCCATATATGAGTGCTGCCTTTCAGTGCCCATCAGTGATGCCTGTCAATGCCCATCAGTGCCACCTACCAGTGCCTCCTCATCAGTGCCCATCACTGCCACCTATTAGTGCCCTTCACTGCAGCCCAGGGGCGGACTGACCATTTGGAAACTCGGGCACTGCCCGAGGGCCCGGGGTCAGTAGGGGGCCCCATGAGATGCCCTTGGTACCTTTTTCATAGGCTTTTTTGAGTTTGGGCAAGGACACAGGGGCCCCATGATCCCCTATTGCCCAGGGGCCAAATGAGTTGTCAGTCCACCCCTGCTGCAGCCTATCAGTGCCCATCACTGCAACCTCATTATCGCACATCAGTGAAGTAGAAAAATCACTTATTTACAAAATTTTATAACAGAAACTAAGAAAAAAGTTTTTTTTTCAAACATTTCTGTGGTTTTTGGTTTGTTTAGCAAAAAATAAAAAACCCAGAGGTGATTAAATACCACCAAAGAAAGCTCTATCTGCCTCCCAAAAATTATAAACCTTTCATATCAGTTGTTGCATGACCGCGCAATTGTCATTCAAAGTGTGAGAGTGCTGAAAGCTGAAAATTGGCCTGGGCAGGAAGGGAGTAAAAGTTCCCAGTAGGCTAGTGGTTAAAGAATTGTTCACATCTTGTGGCCTGCCTGGTGGCAGAACTGGTTTGCTGATAGTATAACAAACTTTCCAGGCTAAGCCTAGCCCCTCCAGCCTGAGAGCCCTCAAGTGTACTGTCCAGCAGTTCTTATTGTTGGCCATTCCACAGTCACTTGGGGCATAATCTCCCAGTCAGATAGCTACTTTTTATGCTGTTGGTATTGCAGTGCAAGCTGAGTCAATTTTTAAAAGGTCCCCCGGTTAATTGAATTATATTTGTATTGCATTGTTTTCTCTTGTGTTCATAATGAAATAATGGTTCACTGTGTTATCTTTTAATTTTGGTCAACCTATATAATTTCCTTATCTTTTAACAGTGGTGTCAGTAAGAGTGAGACTCCAGTTAGGGCTGGAGAATGAGCAGAAGACCTAATATTACCAGTGAGGTAGTGCTACACAGTCATTGACTGTGTTTATTTGACATCATAGCGGCATGGAGTAAGTGGGGTGTCACACTTTTCTTATAGCCCTCAATGGAGGATAGAGTGCCATGCAGTAAACAGGGCCCAGAGTCATCTGGCAGCTAATCAATAATATTAACTCCAATCAGCTTCAAGATCTCAGTCTAGTACAAGTCCTTTTCATATTCCTGAAATTACACTATATGATCAAAAGTTTGTGGACACCTGGCCATCACACCTACAATCTATGAGTTTGCTTAATATGCCATTCCAAAAGCATGAGCATTAATACACAACTGAACAACACGTTGGGGCTATAACAGGTTCCACTGGAAAGCGTGTCTGTGGGAATTTGGCCCATTTAGTAAAAAGAGCACTTGTGAGGTCTAGTACTGATATTGAATGAGAAAGTCTGGCATGAAATTTGCGTATATCCCAAAGATTTTCAATAGGGTTGAGGTCAAGGATCTGTGAAGGCAAGTGTACAATTCAAATGTACACGTTCCTGTGTTAAAAATGGCTGTGTGTATAAGTGGGTGCTGCAAGGGAGAATGTCATCAGCACACCGAGGATCACCAATATGGGTCCAAAAGTTTTAATAAACGATCACATAGTTACAGCACGTTTTGGAATCTTGCAAGACCCCTTCATCAGGCATGTGACCATCACTTAAGCATAAATAAATTGCCGCGCTACACCATCATTTTTATCAAGATAAATGCATAAATAATGAAAATTATATAAATGAAAATAGCAATAATCAAGTCCCAAAAGAAAAATCATGAATAAAGTCCCGGTATTCTGTTATTATGTAAGCCAACACCCCGTGTCTTCAAATAAACCAAGTGCACCACCACCAAGTAGTGGTAGGACTCTTACCAGAATATATGGACCCATAAACTAAGAGACATAAACATGAATGTAATGTCCTGAAGATAAATACTTTTTGTGACTCGGGCATTTGTGCTTCTTTTGTAATATAATATTCAACTGTGTTGAGACCCAACTCCTGGGGGATGCATGTATATAATGATGCTACATCTGCCGTTACCAACAGTGTCCCATCTCTAACCACCATATCGTCCAAAAGTTTGATAGTATCTTTTATATAAGCGGGTACATATCTCACCAGTGGTTGCAAATAAAAATCGATGTACCTACCTATCTTAGCTGTAATCTATTCTATGATATGGTGAATACCTGTAATCTATTCTACGAAATTGTGGTTAGAGATGGAACACTGTTGGTAACAGCAGATGTAGCATCATTATATACATGTATCCCCCATGAGTTGGGTCTCAACACAGTTGAATATTATATTACAAAAGAAGCACAAATCTCTGAGTCACAAAAAGCATTTATTATGGAACTTTTATTGTTTGCTACTCAACATAACTATTTTTAGTTTGATTACCAGTATTATGTTCAAAGAAAGGGAGTAGCTATGGGGGGCAAAATGTACCCCCAGCTTGGCCAATTTGTTTATGGCTAAGTGGGAGGAGGATGTCATCTATTCTCGAGAGCAACCCCAGCTCCTACTGTGGGTGAGATATATAGACAACATCTTTCTCCTATTGGGACTTGATTATTTGTTGCTATTTTCATTTATATAATTTTCATTATTTATGCATTTATCTTGACAATGATGATGTAGTGCGGCAATTTACTTATGCTTATTTGTACACAATTGATCTGATTGTTTTGCTAGCAGCTTTTTTTATTTTTCTAATTTCATTTTTTACTTTTTGCACAACTTTTTTGCCGCTTTCTTGTCTTTTCTATGTGACCATCATATGCCTAATGAAGGGGTCCTGTGAGACTCCAAAATGTTGTCTTGCTGTAACTATGTGATCGTTCATTAAAACTTTTGGACCCATATTGGTGATCCTCAGTGTGCTGGTGACATTCTCCCTTGCTGGCTCTGTGAAAGGAACACAGGTTTCTCCGCACCATGCTCATCAAACCATATCATTTTGGATCTGACTTTTGGGCACAGTCACGTCCTAAAACTGTCATCACAAGGTTGGAAGCACACAGCTGTTTAATATTTCTTTGTATGCCGTAACATTAACAAGAACCTTCATTGGAAACACCTGCACTCAACAACTAGGAGGGGGTGTCACATCATTTTTGCCATATACTGTTATATGTGAGATTATCAGGTGTCCACAAACTTTTGATCATATAGTGTATCAGAGATCTGTAGTTTGCTGATTTCAGTGTAAGATTTTATATGCAATTGATAATTGCAAGCCTATTTCCAGCATGCCCATACAGACTCAAATGGGGTAAGAGAGTCTGCAGGTCTTATGTTTTTCAAATTGGTGCATACAAAGTGTTATCTCAGATTCATTTTAAACTCCTGAGATCTTTCTCAAAGTGAGTGTAATGTAAACAGAAGGCTATTTCCTGCGGTGGCCAAATATTTTTCACTTATTCCTGTTCTTTGAGAGCGTCTGGTCTTACTCCAGCATTTTGGTTTTTGCTGTGATGCATCCCTGTCTGTCTGTTCATCTGCAAGGTGATTGATGTGACAAGTCTCTGAGTGGAAACCAAACCTGATTTAAGCCAGCTAAGCCTGCAGTCTCATGCTTGTGATAGTGCTGATTATGTGTTCAAGGTGCCTGTTTGTCTGTCCTGCTCAGCTCTTTTCCCTTGTTGACTACCTCAGATTGGACTATTCCCTGAACTCTGCCTGCCTGATACATAGACTGTCATTAAATCTGTCTGCCAACCACAAGTACCTATTTGCTTTTCTCAGCCAGATGAAGACAAGGCACTATAGCATTGTGTAAAAGTCCTGGGGGCAACCAAATACTGGTAGGCCTGCTTGCCTTGTGGGAAAGGGGGCTGCTATAGGTAAAAAAAACACAGAAGCTAGCTATAGTGCCTGACCACCTGCATTAGGGGAAGTCATGACATTTGGAAAATCTTTTTTTTTAATACATTGCTATGTGATTACATTTGCTATTACACAGCAACCAGAGCTGTTTAACATGGCAATACATATGGTGCTATAGAATTTCACAGGGAAGAATATTTGGGGCTGTGCACAGCTAATTCTCAAAGTATCAATGTACAACTTTCAATACTGGGGCAGCAGTCTGGACATGGTCTGGGCAAAGGCTATAAATAAAAAGGATAAAGCTTTCCACAGCATTTACTATGAAGATAATGATGACCTCTGTGGAGGTGCAAAAAGAGGAAAGAGTGCATGACAGACACATTTATTCAAAAAGAAATGTTCCAATGAACTCTTGCATTCTATTAACCCACTGCTCACCAGTTATGTTATATGATAAAAATAATTCAACATATGTTATAGAATTAACAATTTATAGATTAAAGCTAATTCAACTCATTTCACAAATCTGAAACACCAGGACAAGGATCTTTATCATAAGACATGTGTCTGTAATTTTCAAATCTCATTGGACTCAACCAAAAATAACAGTCCAGGTGTTTTAGGTTTGTGAATTGAGCTTATCATGACTAATAAAACATGCACCATTTGGTTACAATAGGTTTTCCAATATAATTCCTAGAAAAATGTTTGCCCAATAATGTAGATGATGTTGGTCAATAAGATCCTACAGTGTCAATGTTATTGAAATGTCCTGTTAGCATACTGCAGGTGTAATCTTTGAAAATCCATGAAGAACTGTCAGGAACAACACTAGACCTGTAAACATCCTGGAAACCAGCTGTTCCCTTAGCTAATTATAAGGATGTGTTGCTCAAGATGATTCCGGAATTCAAACTCTGTCACAAGATAAATAGCATTTGCAGGATTGCAGCTTTAAGCAATGAATTGTACACAACACTATTTA